CTTGAATAAGATGAGATGTTACTGAATTTCCTACAACCTTCTATTAAAAAGTTATAAGCATTACAAAAAATGATAAAAGAAAACTTTTTAAGAGAGTGCCATAAGAAATACAGCAACCTCTCATTTTTTTTTCAGAGTTTTGTGTTTTTTGAGATGGGATGCTCAAAAACTAATTTTGACAGTCTTCTGGAATCTGAAAACTATCATGTTTACTTTTTCAGAAGCCTGTCCTTCATAGTTCGTCTATGAAACTTCAATTAGAAACACATTTGATAGAGAACTACATTGACTATTCAAACGAATATTTTAATTTGAGTTAATTGCTTGATATTGTAGAAAAAAAAAATGAAAAATACATTGGTCTTATATTCTTGACCAGTACTGTATTACTTGGAATAGAACCAAAGGGAATTTCACGTCCAAATAAAAGCCGAAGCCAACGTCTACATGCATGAAAAAAAAAGAAAAATATTGTTTTCAAATAGGAAATTCTTCGAATCAACTAAAATATGTCAAAATCAGTCTAGATTAAAGTCAGCTTTGTCTCTCCTCAAAAAAAGTCAATTTTCATGAAAAACACGAAAATTGGGAAGATAGTGTAAGGTTTAATCTTGCATAGATGATATGATTTTTTATTTGGCGCCTCGCTTTTTCAAAAGATTTTCGTCATTTTCTGCTAGAAAAATATGGTTTTTTCAGACAAAGTGGAAAATTTCTTTCACGTTTTCTCTATTTACATTTTTTTTTGGTTGCACATCTCAGAATTCTCGAAGGAGCTTCATTGTAGTCAGTGGCTGTGTTTCTTTCGTTTGACAGAACTCGTTTTTTTTTTCAATTAAGCTTTGTTACTATTATATAAAAGAGTACTTTTATAATTAGAGCACCATTTTTTGAGATATTGAACTTTTCTCCTCTTGAAAAGTAATAATTAAAAAAAGAGCTCTAACATATCCTGCATCCTGGCATGTTCATTCAGACAAAAACAAACTAAGTCTATAGAATGAAGGCCTACAAGGAATTTATTGGGTTGCCAGATGAGTCACTTTCTGACCTTTGTTAATTTAATATCTCCCGAAAATATAATACTATAGAGCTGAAAACTATATCTTAACTTTTCCACGACAACCTCAACATATTCTGAAAATTTCATTTGAATTGAATGCACCCAGGTCAAGATCGATTTCTGAGGATGAGGCTTCATTGATTAATTGATCGTATTCTAATGATTTTAAAATATTAAAATCTTTCAATATCTTATCTTACTAACAAATAAAATAAATTCAAAACAACGTTTTTTTTTAATATTCTATAAAATTTAAAAATATGATTTCTTTGAAATTCCTTATAGATAGTATTTCTTACATGCCATAGATTGTTGGTTCAATGCTTAAATTTTGAAGTTTATCATAGAGTGACAGATCATAGTTTTTTAAACGTTCAAAAATCGAGTTCACTCGCATGACAGTATCATTCATTTGAACTTGTATATCTTGTGCTCGTCGAAATGGTATAGATTTATTAACATTCATATTAATATTCTATATTGAAAACAAAAACAAAAAATTAAACTTAACAAACTAGAACATTTCTTACTTTACGTATAACTGAATTGCTTGATTTAAAATCATAAAATGGTTGAAGATGTTCCATAATTTTTTCATAAATTGCACTAATAACAAAGTAATATTAAAAGAAAATTACATAAGAAAAAATTAATGTAACAGTTACAAAGAATCATGAGCAAGATATTTTGGATCATAAAGTTTTTTCATTAATTCATTTGATTCAGAATATTCATTTACTGTTATACTTTCTGAATGAATTAAATAAACAATAACAGCGAGAATTTCATGCATACCCTAAAAATTTATTAATATATTAAAGCAAGTTTATTTTATTTTATTTACTTGTCGATAAGGTAATGATTCTCCATAATGTCGACTATGAATATATAAAACATGTAATAAAAGATCAAGAATGTATTTTTGTCGAAAAAATGATATTTCTTGACAACTTAAAATGAAGAAAAATTTTTCAAAAGAAGAAAAAAAGAAATTAATTAATTTACGTTCGTATAACATCTTGATAAATATTTTCTTTGAGTTCTTCATAAACATAATATTGATTCCAAAGGCTCTAAAATATAGATATATTATTAAAAAAAAAGATAATGATTTTTATTCGATTTATTTCATTACATTTTCCTCTTGAGAAAGTGGATGATTGACATCTTTTACATTACTATTATTTTCTCGTATTTTTTTTAAATCAAGAAGATGTTTATCAACAAGTTCATTATAATTATCACGTGATGCATCAATTATTTGATTCCATTGACTTGAATCACGTGGTAAACAATGTAAAAAAATACGCCATAAAACAGTAGTAAATGGACATGTTATCATTTGTCGACTTAAAATCTTATTACGAATTGTTTCATAATCAAATGAATCGAATAGATCTTGGAATTCGAATCTATGAATTAAAACAAAAACATTCTACAGATGATAGAGACTTTTTTATTTCTAGTAATTTACAGAAATGATGAATGATTATCTTTTACATCTTTGTTAGATTCACTGGGTATTTCCATAAATGAAGATGTAGTCTCAACTATAATTATAAATAAACGGAGATGAGTAGTGAATAGAGGAATAATTTAAATATACGTTGAAAAGATATTCTCTTAAGTTCATTGGGAATAGAAGGTTCAGATTGTATAGGTGGCGGTGGTGGTGGTCGTTGTGGTCGAAGTACAAGACGTTCAGTATCCGATTCTAATTTAGTAGCTAATGTTTCAATCGACGACATTCTTATTCACTTGAAAATTGTTTAACTATAACTCTTTTGATATTACAAGACGATTGTGTTGTTTGAATGCTTGAAAATGATAAAGATAGAAGAATTTTGTGTTGAATAAATTCACTTTTACTGTGTCTAAAGTCGATAAATATTCATACCTAAAAGAAAACATGAAACAACGTTAGGTTATGTTTATTTTTGTCTTCTCTATCTGTTCGTTTCGTTTTGATTTTTAAACGAATGTCTTATCAGTAACTATTTGTTTTTCGTTCTTTTCGAAATACTGCATGACAGTTATTCGAGAATGATGAATCATCTCTAATTTCTTTTTTGTAACATCATTCTAGACGTGGACGAAAAACATTCTTAATAAACATATTAAACCAGCAAGAAGTTTTGTTTTTTAAATATTTTTTCCATTACCATTAACTATGAGATTCAAATCTAACAATATAATTAAAAAATTGATAGTATGTTGAGTTGTTGTCAAAAAATTGAATCGGATTCAAATAAATTGTTTATTGTCGCTGAAAGAAATTTCATTCAACAGTTATTATTTTATTTTTTATTTTTGTTATCAGAATAGAATATATTGAATTTCTTTTTTTGTATCAATAATATATTTTTCATAAATATGAAGTGCAGCATTTTGAAATTAACTTTAGTCTTCCAGTAGTGCTCAACATATCATATGTATGCATTTGATAGAGCCGAAAAATGAATGAATATCAGTACTAAGTGAAATTTACATAAAAAAAAACGTTCTACGTAGAATATTTGACGCCAAAAGTCATTCAAGGGTAAATAATTATTTTAAATAGAAAATATAAAGACAATAAATGAGAGTAAAATTTTAAGTTTACACTCTATTGATTTATACATGTTGTTTGACTTCGATCGTTTACCTGAAAATCTTGAGTTTCAAGTTGTAAGACTAAATTTATCCACTGAATAATCAAGAGCACAATGCGAATATACAATGGAATAAAACATTGAACAATTTCAGCGAAAAAATAAGAACGAAACAAGTTTGGCCTTTTTATTGGTTATAAAAAACAACTGTCGAGTAAACGTTCTAAAATAAGCATTGTCTTCTTGTAGAAGAAAAACAACGTTGTAGCATCAATTGCTCACTTTTTGACAACTCATTTTATTACATAGGTACTGTCTTCATTAAGGCATGATAATTCAATTGATTAAT